TTAAATTTCGAAAATTTGTCACTCATCATAACATTATTATTGTTAGATGAAATATTTTAGTTCTTCAAATCTGTTTTTTGATTCCTCTTGCTACTCCTGGGTGTAGTGTGTCAATTCCAGTATCGCAGTCAAGACAGCTTCTACTACTACCTACTAACATACTGAGCAATAAAAATGCAATAAATGTTTTAATTTCACAATGGGATACATCAAAAGTCTTTCCTTTGAGGGAAAAACAGCAAAATTCCTTTCAAGGAGAGACTATTCTCTTTGCAGCCAATCTGGTTGTTCCCAAGTACGTTCTGTGAGAGGCACAAAGTCTTTTTTTCACCCAGTTTCAACCTGTTTACTTTGTGCCTGTGCTTCAAACGCGATTCCCTTGTTCATAACATCAAGTTCATTGAAGACCATTCTTCAGATGGTAGAATAGTTTCATCTATTGCAGAGGAAGTAATCTTTGTCTCTTGCAGTTTTCGTGGGCCTCATAGCTGGTTTCCAGTAAGATGGTTTACATCAGCATATTCTATTTCATCTTCACCACTGTCTTCATCACTAAGATGGATTCCAGGAGCAGATATAAAAACCGATGCCTCTGTGAAGTAATCATGTTCTAATAATTCTGTTATTTCGTTTACGGATAATGTGAAATTAATAAGACAGAGGAAATATAAAGGAAAAACGATTTAAACATTTGAATATAATACATCTTCACACTGTGCAATATTGATATTTACTCAAATATCAAAAATTTACTTGCCAATAATTGATATAAAAACCTATACCCTCTCGTTCCCATAGCCCCTCTAATGGGGCATAACGATTCTACTATAATTTGCTGCTAAAATATATGCTATAATCTTTAGTATTTAGAATATATTTCAAATATAAGTTTCAGCAGATCGTGTTATAAAATACACGATTAAAAAAATCATTAATTTAAATAATGTACTTGATTCACGAAGCCACATGATGCTCAAATGCAGATACTCCAGTCTCCAACAACGAAAAATGCTATAGAATACCAATGAATTTATTCACATTGTTTGTTGTCAACACAACACTGTGGCATACATAATAACTTTCCTTCATTCGTTCCTAGAGATGAACTATTAACAGAAAAATACACAGCCCCATTTTTGGGACATTGGGAATATACGGATTAAAAGACAATCTCTGCCTTCATATATCTCGAAATTACCCGAACTGGCAATGGGGTCGACGGGCGTCACATGGGGTCACGTCGATGGGGTCATGAGAACCTTAGATTACATAGTACTCACAACTGCTCACATTACAACATATGAGCGAAGAAATTGAATGGGCTACCTGAGAATTCTGTGGTGAACATTTGTTGCACCTCGTAAATATTGTTGGAAGCAAGTACCATTAAAATGGTAGTAAAATCGATGAAATCACTGAAAAATGCAGTAAAAATGACGTATAAAAAGTAAAAAATTACCCATTAGTTACAATTGACAAAAAATTGGAAAATAAAAGGGCTATAAAAATGGGTAATTTCATTTTGTCATAACATAAAATGAATTTCTATACTAAACAGCACTGTTCTAAAGTGAAAAGAAAAAAGACAACATTTCATGAAAATTTGTCTCCTATTTATAACTTTCACGTAAGACTCTTTAAATGCTACCATTAGTCGTCTCCGCTTGTAAATGGTCTCTTTACTCCTGTAAAAATTATATCCTTTTTATTGTAGCCCTGATGAAGGCTGAATGGCCAAAACACCAGGAATGTAAAGGTGTGTTTTGACCCACACTCAAGAATCAGACGACATCTAATTCCAATGGATCAAGAATCACTTAAAATAGTAAATCAAAAATTTTTATCAAAAGAGCAAACTAAGGCAGAACCAAATTGTTTACATCATAATTATTATTGCTTACATTATCACAAATAAGTATGAATATTCATGTACAAAGAACTGTACAAATTGGTATATTTCAGAATTGTTAAGTGTCTATGGAAGAAGATAGGTCAATCATGAAATTAATCAGGGATTTTATTGGAAATTTTTGATACCACAAGAAAGGAAATTCAATAAAGTAGAAAGTAAGTTTTTTCTCTGTGATAATTAAAAATTGGTTCCTGTAAGTTGTTTGGAATTATAACGGTCCAAAGTGTTTTTCAATTCACAGGTCTCACAACTGGATTAATATGGAAATTACTAGCACCATCCAAGGATACTTTATTGAGAATCATTACATTCAACAACTCCATTAAAAAGCATGAAAAAGAACAGGAATGCATGTCACAGAACTCTATTTTAGAGCATTTCACATTGGACTTCAAATCTCATAGGATTTTCAGATATACAGGCAGCCATTTCTATAATACATTTTAACTCTATAGCAATGCCATCTAGTAACTGTTTTTTGGTGTTTTGTGCTGTTTATTTCTGTTTTAAATTTATTAAAATTATTTTAACATGAACAAAATATTTTCAAAATCAGCAGAAGGAAAGCTAATAGCAATTCTTTCATAAACACATTGATTAATATTTCAGGGGAGTAACTAGTAAATGTAAATATTAACCAAAATATTGGATTTAAGTTGGTAATATGAGAAATATGAATAAAAAATGAACAATTGGAGCAATTACAATTGATTGGGCTAATTACAATTGATTGACAATGCATTATAGGCCATTTTCCAATGTAGGCATGGTCAACTTTATTTGTCAATACATGTAACTTCACAAAAATTTTTTGTTCTTTTCAAACGCATGAATTTATGAAGTTCAAATAATTTTGCTTCAATAGTTGCTAGTATTAGTTTTGTTTCCATCTCCATATTGCTCAAATTTACATGACCTAATGGACATTTATCAGCAATTCTAACACGTTATCCAAATCTGATTTAAAGTTGTGCAGTTATCCCCAGGAAAATCATAAAACATTGTGCGCATGAATAAATTACTTCATAACATTGCCCACATTCAAGTTTTCCAACTTTATAACATTACAGTGTTTTGCCCCATTATTTGCTTTCGAGAAAATTGTGTTTCATCTTTGCGATTTAAATTTTACTTTCAATTAAAACAATTTTCTAGATGTTTATGGCTGTTGATTCAGCCAAATTTTCAAAATGTTCATAAGAGTTTTCCACTTATCCTAATGACTTTTTATTACAATTTATTTAAATAAAAAAGAGAAATCATTGTTTAGCCTCAGAATGAAAAACAAAAGAAACATGCTGCACAAAACCTTGTATTATTTCATGTTGCTCTACTCTCAGTGTTAGAAGAAAAGTTGTATAATATAATATTAGATGTGGTATCTAAGTTGATACACCTGCTATATAATTTAATACAATCACCATTGACGTAAATTATTTATGATTTGGTGTTATCATTTGGGGCAAAGAATTGGAAAATGTAATGGTTAATGTTTGACCATGTCTACATTTTTAATATAATGCATGGAAGAGCATTTTAGCTACAAAAGAAAGTTAAAAAAATACTAATCTTAATTTAATTAAGGTCTTTTAGCAAAAAAAGATGCATGTTTTTAAGTAAAGCTACTAGTTTTAAATCTCCCACTTTTCACAGTACATGATCAGAGGCATCTGTCAAGAACTTGCAATTGTAAACACGACAATGACATAATTTGGAAAATTGTATTGAGGTGTCATCAGTTCTCTAATGCTTTCCAACACAGTAGACGGGCGTGGAAGAAGAAAGTCACATACCCAACATTTTAAAGATTTTAAAAATTATTGTACAAAACAGGACACTTGGTATAGATCAGAGAAGTTAGTGGGTGGTTGCTCAACATTTTCTTTTCAGTGCTGATATCATAAGCCACCAGAAATGTTAAACAGCAAATTATCCAATATTCCAAAATATTAAAATCTAAGTCTAGAATTTTTTCCACAGTTCAATATTTATTTGAATTCTTATAAGTTATATAATCAATATACAATCTAATGGGTTTATTCTTAATGATAGAAAAATTTAATGGAAACTTATAACCTACACAGCGAGGGCGGAAGAAAAGAATCAGTAAGGACTGTATCACAGACAGATTACAACTTCAGGATGTTTATGGAAGCTTTAAAAAATGGGAGGGATTACACTATACACTATAAATGCAATTTCAAAATCCTTATTGCAATTTTGTTCATATGAGTAGAGATTTCTTTATTACACACACACACACACACACACAAAGTCTAATATGCTAGCCATATAAATAACATGAAGATTACAATGTCAAGACAACTTAAAAAGAGAGAAAACATGAGAGGAAAGTTGAAATCACAAAAGTAAGGATACTTTATTTTATTCTTCAGTTCCTTCAGAAGCAGTATTTCAACAATGATTAATTTTTAAGAAGTTCAGTACTTCCAAGGTGACCATCAGATTTTTCCTAACAGCTAATTCCCTCTCAAAGGTATTTATTTGCAGACACTGGCACAATTACTCAATTTAAATTATGAATGCATTTAATAAATCCCAAAAACAGAAAAGGACATAAAATACTGGTTAGAAATATTAAAATGGTACAAAAAAAAGGGTTGAAAGGGGAAATGCATTTGAATTGTTTACCAAGTGTTAAACAAGACAGTAATATTATATTGTTTGTTCCTACAGAAATAAGATTTTAATTCCTGAAGTAAATTTATAATCAAATTCCTATTTTTAATGAGAACTTTCAAAGAACACCTATAGTTCTGTATAACTTGCAATGCTCAATTAAATCTCCTCACATTTCTTCATTAAATGAAGTAAAATACTAAAATTGTAGGCAATGTAATATTAAATTATTACAAAATATGATGTTTCATAAATTGTTTGAGGTGTCAAAGACTATTTAATAGTATGCATAACAGGTTTCATGCATCAAAACATGAAACAGGATTCAGTTAAGAAAGATACAAGAAAAGGATGAAGATCGGGAAAATTAATACGAAAATTAAAGGAATGGACAAAAATAGTAAAGTGTGCATTAAGGATGGGAAAGAGATACCATTAAAGAATATAAATGTTCATAATTGAAATATATTTTTTTAATAAACAAATGTTTTCAAATAAAATGAAATGGGCGAAAAAAATGTGGCAGAATAAAGCATCTAAATACAAAATGGTACATAATACAAACATTTTTTTTCTAATCCATGTAGCCTTTTTTGCTTTAGTCTAGTCAATCACATAGAACAGAAAATGTCAATAATTAAATGATGTGAATTTTCACCTAAAGTAAAATTTGTATAACCGATGTCAAAAATGATATTTCCCTTAAATAAACATTACAGCATTCATTGCAAGCAAATGCTTCTTAATGAGAGCTCCTCAGAACAAGATGATATGACCAGCGTCATTATTTATCCAAAGCATTATAAATATCATAACACTAACACCAAATATAATGGATCTAGATGTCATGATAAATCATGCAGATAGACAATATCTTAAAAATATAAGCACAGTAAGGATCCTGAAATTTTCTTGAAAGCTAAATATTCTTTAATTTTTTTGCGATTAAATTTGAAGTCTGTACCTAGCTATGTCATATGTACACTGCTTTAGTATTGATGCAGTTCTCTTTATAGAAGATTGATATTAATGCCAGACGTATGATCATATCTGTTATTGCATGTTGCAATGTTCTGATTGTACTGTGTCTGCATAGTTCATATCACAGCACTGAAAAAAACCTGAGTTGAGGGAACAGCAATGTTTCCATGGTATAGATTTCTGCAGTACTCTTTAAAAAAGTTACATCATGTAGTTTCAATCATCATACACATATGATATATTTTCATCAAGGAACTATCCCTGGGCAGCAACAATAACAACACAATTTAAATTATTAATTTGTTTCAGCCAGCTCTTTTAACTCTTTACACACATTGCTATTCATCATGTTAGCTTGCAAATTTATACCAATAAAAAATATTAATAGTTCATTATTGTCACTGGTATCCAGGATATCCACAGTAGTTTTCTCAGAATTAACACGATCTCTAAATCAAAGTTGTTTGTTGAAGGGATAATTTTGAAAATCTTCTGGTTTTCAAGAAGTGTGCTTTACATTTAACGAAGCAGATAGTAATTTTTGCTTCAATTTGTAAAATTTCAGGGGAATTTCTGCAGCCCATTAATTGGGAGGAGAGCAGATGGTTTCAGGCATGCCCAACTTGGAAATGGCCAAATGTAATCTACTTAAAAAAGAACTGACAGCATAGAAATTATACATGGGCAACTCATAAGCAAATAGCCTATACACAGTGTGAAATTGTGCTAGTATAGGATGTCCTTCTAACCTACACACCATTTAACACTAGCACTTCTTCAACAACTTGCAAAGTTACCACTAGTGGAAATTTGTGATGTGGTAATACTGAAATTTGTTCACGAATTTAAAAACAACCTTACCTCAAGAAATTCTACACATAATAAAGTAATGAAGCCAAGGTGGCTTGGGTTAGCCAGCCCCTGAGGATAAGGAGACTGAGGGGTTATGGTCCACTCCAGTGGACTCTAGACCAATCCAAGGTGGTTTGTAGGAACTGTTGCACTTGCCTCGGAGGACGAAGAGAGCGGAAACTACATCCACGCCCAAGTGCTTTCGCTTCTGAGCTTTAGCTTTAACCTTCAACTACTGTTTCATTGAACAACAGCATTTCTAGTGGCTTATGCCTACAAGAAGAAAAGTGCACAATCTGTGAAGTGGGAAGGACTGCACTCCTTAATGCAGAGCAACAAAGCAAACAGTAGGGCCTGGAAGACAGTGCCACCATCAGCACATCAAGAACTTCAAACGGGCACCACCCTCCTCAACTACAAATTGCAACATTAATATTATTTGCTACTTACTCCTTAAATGACAGCAAACAATTTTTTCCATTACTGTCATTTTCATAGGAAACTATTTACAACACCATCAATAAATAGTGTGTGCGAATGTGTGTGTGTGTGTGTGTGTGTGTGCGCGCGCGGAGAGGTACAACATGTGCTACCAAACAAAAATGAAATAATTTTAGGAATACATTATTCCTACACAATTTGCACAGAAGCAAAGTTTCTTGAGTAACAACGTACTTGCAATCAGGTTAATTGAAGAAGATACCAACGATAAGTGTGTACATGAACCAGGCTCCAAACTTTTATCAGCATTTATTATTTTCATTCCATTTGACATAATTATGATGGTTGTTAAGACACTTATCCCCTTCTCAATCCATTTTCCTCTCTTTGACCACTCCAGACAGTGGTATCTTCTTTAACTTGCCTGCCTGTAATATAAGCTATAATACATTTGTTTGCAAAATGTGTATTACCCCTTCTTTATAACTGTGTATGTGTGCGCTGTATGAAGGAGTGTGTTTGTGCACAATTAATTATTAATTATTTATGGTTAGTAAATATCCAAACTTACATAACTGTAACCCACCCAGACACCATTCTTAAAATAACATTCATCACAAAAGGTTGACAAATATTACTGAAGAAATAAATTAGACCTTGTATCACAGTCTGGCACTAAAGGTCTCCCCCCTGCGTCGGTGCATTTAGTCCCGAGAAGAGATGACAGTCTACTGACCTTGTAACTCTTTAACAACACTATATGAAAGAATTTTATTCCAATCAATTTTTGCTCGGGTCACAGGTAGCTGTCGCCGTAATGCTTTAAAGGTTGTATCAGACATTGTTTGATAATTTTCAGAGATTGCAGACTGGTATTCATTTTCAGCATTTTCAATTGCTCTTAGAACTTCTTTGGCTAATCCTTGTTTATCCCCATAGGTAACAGTATCCTTAACTTCTTTTGAACTTACTAGTTGCACATTGCCATCCTCATAATAGTGCACTTGTACCTTCAGCACACCCTTCAGTTCTGCTGTACCTAAGCTTATTGATATACTCCACTGTGATCGCCAGCGTCCATTCCAATAGTTATTTGGTTGAAATTGATGATCTTCAATACAGGCTATGAGTGCAATGGCATTGCCTTGGTTTTTTCCAAAAACACTGCAGGCTCCATGCCTGTAGTGATTCAAGGTGTACGCATCAAGCTCGGCTTCCAATGCTGACCGCCAAGGCTCTGCCACTGGGTCTGGTGTCCAGGGCTAGAAAATTGGATTCGTTTGTCATAAAGATGGCATGCCTATTTCATTTGAAGCATTTGACAAAAAGAAATTCACAATAATCGATTTAATTACAAAAGAAGCATGCAAATTGAGTTGCTAAGAAACAGTTACAAACAACTCTAGTACAAAATATGTTCAATCTCTAAATGGGATAACTTGATTCACTGAAGACAATGTTATAATTAAAATCATTTCCAACTAGAATCTTTCTTTTCAACCTTGTGAAAGATTTCAGCTCCACATATTTTTATTTCTAGTTAATTATAGTACATTAAAATCAAAAACATATTCCACAGCACATCCTAATTATCATAAAATAATTCATACCATTATTTTATGTCCACGAGTATGTATTTTCAAATTTTTGGGAGTTCTCGTTTTAAGGAAACTAAATATATCCCTGGCCAATTATAGAGCAATACCAATTGATAGCTGAGCAAGTACTTGCAGATAAGGAGGTCCATAAAGTAATAGAAATTTCCTCTTGTCATACTACAAGTACAGTCATACTTCACACGTAGTGCACGATTAGAAAAATTAAAGTTTTCCACATACATTTTAACATTCAACAAGCTAACATGAATTTACTATATCAATACTGAACTTGACAATGAAACAATTAATTTCAGGGATACACAACAATGAAATAATTATTTAGATTCTGAATTTTCAGTTTCATTGATTTGTCTTTATTGCTTCAGCTACACTTATTGTACTACTAAAAGCTTTTATAGCACTTGTGCGAACTGAAGAATAATGCACAATGAAGCTGTCTAACTTGCTAGACAATCTTAACCTAATACAGGTTACTTGAATTAAAATAACTTCTTCGTTAAACATTATGAGTGCTATATCTTACCAAATAGTCTGATGCCTCTTTCTTCAAGTCATCGTATCGAAAGCTTTGCTTTGATCTATCATCAAAGAATCTGTCTCCTCCAAGTTCATTGTGCTCAGTAATAAGAGTTTTATGCTCTGACCTCTCCAACATGACAGGTGTCAATTGTTCTTTGTTGTACTGCTTGAAAGCATAGGAAACCTCTTCTTTTAAGACAGTGTCATTATTTAATAGCACCCGCACATCATTAAAAACCTCATTAAACTCCCCAGGAGGAGAATGCAATATAAAATTTGTCACAATTCGAACTTTCTCTTGGTCAGATATGGGTTCATCATTATCTGCAGCCATGTTGATTAGAAGCGCAACTCACAAATCAATAGTGAACGGAACGTTAGGTACGGATATTTTCACGTTATGAAACAAAAAGAATATACCCCACTGTCTTACTTCTAAACATATTCACAATAAATAATGTTATGCACAACCACTGACAGTCACGGTCATCCCTCATTCAAACCGGCCGTTCTCATGTCTCACATCATGTAACCTAACCTATGGAGCAAAGATGCAACAAAGCACAAAACCAAGAAAACCCGTAGTCAAATTGCACGGAAGATATATTTATTCCCTCACTAAAATTATATAATCCTTCACATACAATCCTTCAGAATTTTGCAATTTAAAATAAGTTTCATTTCATGATCAGAACAAAAATCCAAGATATAGCATGTCCTTCACCACGCGCCTGTGGCACGTACGTCACAAGGAAGTGTTCCCAGGTTGTTTCTGGGGTTGTGAGGACGTATTAAATAAACCATCACGTGTAGCAAAAACGCAAATAGTTGTGTGCAAAACGAATATATTTCATCATTAGAGTAAGCAAATAGTTTATGATTTAGTTAATATTATGTTATCAGGTTATTTCCATATTCTTTCAGCAAGGGAACCACGGGTACTACACAGATCATTTCCGTAGTTGAAATGATTTAATCATTATACTGGTGACGTTAATAAGGCTACTTGTTCTCGGGCGTACACATTGTGCGCACTGATATTTCTCAGGAAAAATAAATTGAATGTTTTCATAGTGAAAATTTGATAACACATTTTAAAATATTTCTTCAGCTGCGTGCAAATGCTCTTGTGAAAATTTGCAGCTTCTGAATTATAAATTTTCTGTTAAAAACTAAGCAAAATAGAATATGTCAAATGAAAATATAAAGTTTAAAGAAAAAGTCTCAGAACAAATTATTATTAGATGGAAGCCCCGCGGTACCTTAAAGTAGTTTTGAAATCGACGAAGTAACGACACATTCTCATTGTAATAATATATATTATACGCGCACGTTTTTTTGAGCCCCCAATATTCACCCATACTCCTTCGCAATCAGTGGCGGATCGAGCGAGGT